GGATCCCGGGCCTGTCCCACCCGGGCACAGCCCTCCCCCGGGGGGGAGGAGGGCGGCTCCCCGCCGCAGGCACAGCTGAGGCGCTCCACTCGCCACCGTGACCCGCAGCAGCCGGTTAAAGCATGTGTGGGGCTTTTTATGCGGACAGCTTGCACGCTAGCTCCTGAGGTATGTAAGTATAGTGGAGATGAGTCGTAGTCCCGATTATCATAAACAGGCACAGGCCTTAAAGCGATCCTGGCAAAGCTGGCATCTTGGGTACATCTTTAGGGATTAGGAACAATGGCCTCTCTAGCTGCCAGAGGGATCAGGAGGGGAGCCATTCCTGACCGAGAGGGAAAACGACAGAAACATTCGTCACCGTCCTATAAAAGGCCATCAAGGGTTTCTCTAACAAACTTAGCATAAGAGAAAAATAAACAACTCGGAATGCATTTACTAAGCTTAGGGCACTAATAGGTGTTATATTTAAATATCCTTTATGAGAAAGAAGATCTGAATAAACGTAGTACCTGGCTTGGGCAGGATATATGCCCAGAGGCCCACTAGCCCTGCCTGGCACCAAAGAGCTTTGATGGCGCAGAAGACAATGTTTTAGCAAAGTACAAATCTTAATTCTTACTTCAGTAACAGTTAATATTTGGTGACAAAATATCCTAACAGAAGTGCGTTATGTCGAACAAAGTATTTTCAAATACGCACAGCAGTTTATGGCACACTGTCTGTATCTGGGTGTGTATTTATACAATCCTCAGATTTTAACCAACTCCCTTGGCCATCAACACCAAGTCTCCCATGAAGATAGAGGGAACCCATGTGATCATCTGGGGAATATGCCAGCACACAGCTTATGAGCAAAAAACCAAACAAGCAAACAAAAAACCCCAAAGCAAATCTTACGGTTGTATTTTTATTTGGACATCTTCCAGTGATAGCTATTAGGCTACAGTTTTTATGATGCATACATTTACTAAGTACAACATCAGACACTACAACAGATCAGAGCTCAGGTCATTCTGACAATGTTTTGGTTTTCTTCTATGTCCTGTAGTGGCATCAAGTGAAAACCTATGTTTAAAGGCTTTTATTTATCACATGAAGTATCAGCATCTTAAAAACCCAAGTGTTTACTCATAGTTTTTGAAATATGTTCAGTTTAAATCACAAATTACACAGACCTTCAAATTGCAAATGCTGGTGTTTCCAAGTTGGGAACAAATGTTACTGGATATCAATCCACTTTTCAACATTGAAGCCGATCCTATTTTTTTTTGTGTGATAAAAATAGATTAATCACATTTAACGGACTTAAGCACTTTCACATTCCATCCCAGATTGAAGTCTGAGAAGCAATTTTTCAAAATTTGGATAGAAGACTGCGTCCTAAACATCAGAATAAAATGATCACTGGAATAAAAATACACCAAATTGAATGAGGTAATTATTGTGCAAAATCTCTAGAATAACTGTATATAATTCTAAGGGGTCATTGACAAGTATTTTTCCAGCATCCGATAGAATCTATCATAGCAATAGATAATAAATTAAAATATAAAAGATATGTCCACATTAAAAGAGCATAACAATGATTCAAAGGAAAAAAAAAGTTGTTAAAATAATTCTGCATTATATTCCATGGTTAAAGAGATATTAGCCCTAAGGTGAAAGATATATTATACACCGACACTAAAATTTTACTTTTGAAAAGTGCATGTAAAATACTGCCATGTAAAATATTAGATGAATTACCAATTACACATCTATTCCAACTTAAAAATATTTTCCTTTAAAACATGTCAAGCAGCATATACTTTTAATGTGATATAAAAGTATTACCAGTCAAACCACTGAGTTTAAGGATAATAGCTATAAATTACTAAACACTACTTTTTTTAAGGAAACAAGATACAATAAGGCTTTTTACAGGTAAACAAACTTAAAAAATAAACAAAAATACATTTAGGCATACATTTTAATACACTAATGCTTAAGTAGTGGATACATTTCCTGATCTACAGTATGAACATACTGTAATGCCAATTGTTTGTTTTTCAATAGGAGAAAAATTTTGTAGGTCAGCATGTTCTCACGTATTTTCTTTCCTAACCTTGTTACTGGATGTGAAGGCTTTCCCATTACATTCTCACAAGTACAGTACCCCTAACAGTCTGAAAACTACATTATACCTTATTTGGAGCCACTTAACAGTAGCTGTAGTTTCAGAAATCAAGTAACATTTGAAAAAAGAGTGTTTGGTATACCTCGCACAGGAAAACAATCTAAATCATTTAGCAAAGATCCTTGAAAACATTTATGCAATGCAGTATTAGGTTCTTGGAAGTACTGGCATGATCCATTAAACATAATATGGGGCATACACATTTGAAAATGAGACGACATGAGCATCTTAAAATGATACTGACAAAGTTTAGGTTGTCTTTACTACTTATTTTAGCAACCATACAAACAGCATGTCTACCTCTCAAATAAAACACAACTGAAATGTTTCAGTCTGCTTAACAGCAAAATTTTTTCTGTGAGTTTGCAGGCAAACAGATCAGTACCAAATAGTCTAATAGTGTATCTCTAGATTATTTCTCGATATTTTTAAAGAAATTAATGTTAATGCTAAGTTGCTAATTATAATAATACATAAAAAATATTGTACAATGTAATTGAGCAATGTGTGTGGCTTTTTTTTTACATGTATATTTGAGCCATACACCACAAACTACCTGTTATAAAGTTCAGAATTGGAACCTTCAGCAAGGCTTCTGCACTTACGTTGCACATTGTGAAATGTGAATTCTATATAGCAGATGCAAGATGTGTGAGTCAGAAAAATCTTTCCAATAAGATGTGCAATATCCAAAATAACTCAGTTTCTCATTATGCACCCTGGATCTCCAGCCATTAAATCAGCATGAATCATAGTCAAATGACAGCATCATAGTCAAAACCTACTTAACATTCTTGTTAGTCAACTTTCAAAGAATGAGAGCCTTGGGCTACTGCAGAAATTTTCTATTAAAATTTTTCCTCTCAAATTCCAGTATGAAAGAATAGTTTTTTTCATTTTTTTTTAAGCGGCAACAAAACAAAAGAGATTATACTCAAAATACACACTGTCATCTCTGGGGCAAAGAAAGAAGAACATTAGACTACAAAAGCTAAATAAATACTAAAATCATTACTGACTTTTGATCATTTGCTTCAAGATTCTGTATTTTTAGCTAACTACTTTTAAAAATAACTAAACATGTGATTTCCAGTGTGCTACTTGTGCTTAATTACCATTTTCCTCTACAGGTGTTATTTGATACCACTTGCAAAAATCCAGTTAAAATAACAGACTGCATCAGACTGTAAATAAGGTTGACAACAAAAACCGAAATATCTTATTTTTAGTGCCTAGTATGATACTGTCATACATTTAAAAGAACACAATATGCAGCAGCGATTTAGTATGCTTGGTAAACCACTGTACTAACAAATGAACACCTAAGTTATAGCATATAGTAAGCTGTAAGACTTATCACTAGAATTTATGTCAAACTGACATAAATAAGGAAGTGGTTTAAGAAATAATTTTATACATTGCCAGTTTGTGTTTCTCCATTCCAGTTTTTACAAATTAAATGTAACAGGCTCCCAAGTGACTGTGTATTCTACTACAAAATGCCTTACTTTCAAGTCTTCCATGTCCAGGACTGTGACTGTCCCTCTTGGTCCCTGCCTATGAGAAGATTACATATGGAGTTTAATTTACACTATTTAAATATGTTACTAAAGATCTAAAAATGTCTCTAGACAGCTGAAGACACAATTTTTGTCCAAGCCCAATTTCCGTATTTTGGAAATGTATGAATCAGTGATGTCCTCATAAATGCAATGACTGAACACAAATGCACATCTTTCTATTAGCCTTCAATCTGTGGTGCTGTTATGTAGTTTTCCAGCTACTTTTACTACAGATCTAGGTATATACAGACTGTTTGTTCAGAAAATGTGTTTTCAGTGGCTCACTATGTTTTAGCGGATAAAGATATCAGGCAACTGATTCTCCATCTAACACTGATGGTACATCCTTGGGATCAGACACGTGATATGAAGCCCAGGCCCAAGCTGGCTGGGATCTGAATGGTTTCTAATGCCAGAGAGGATGGATTAAATGGGAAAGTAACAGGAAAGATGTGTTTAGCATCCATGAGCAACTGAGGAGAGTCCTTCCTGTCTCGCAGACGCATCTGCAAAGATAAGAAAGTGATTACATTAGCATTTAGCCACTTCATTGATTATAATCATCTTGCAAAGAGGTAGTATTTCATCTGTGCTTACAGACATACACTTTACGCTAATTTGAACCAACGCATTTGCAACAATTGTGCCATTAAACTGTAGTTACTTGCATCATTTTCAGTTCTGCATATCTTCTCCTTACAATGCAATCTGAAGATATTTAGATTCCCTGCAAAAGGAAGAATTTGCCCACTATCTGGTAACTGCATCTTTTCAGTATGTGGAATTATAGTTTTATCTCAGTTCTACCTTCCCAATCTCCCTTATCCTGCTAGTATTGTAATTCAATTTCTAACAGACCAGAAAGATCATCTTTGTTTCTTTTATTTTGCTCTACTGGCTGCTTTTCTTTGGAGTTTTCAAAATGTTTCATTTTCATCAATATCTATAAAACTAGAAGGGCTAAATGAAGAACTTTGGAGTTGGAACTTCTCATGCAGACACAGGTCTGACAAAAGTAAATTTGCATATATAAATGTTACCACTTGAAAAGTTGGCATACAAGTGCGTTTACATACACAAAGATGCATAAGCACAAAAAACTCCCACCTTCCAAAAATCTCATACATGCTGACAGGGAAACTAACATTTTCATGCAAGTCTGGAGGCAGGAAATTGTGATTGCTTAAAATTTTAAGGCTGACAATCACCTTTTCAACATAGCTAAAAAACAAGAGCTAAAAAGCCTAGCTTACGTCAGATTCTATGATTCTATTTCAGGACACAAGCTAGTTTGGCTTATCAGAGGGTTTGTTAGAAATAGTCAAATTATTTTTGATGAAAAGATGTAGCCATACCTGTATTGTACGTATAAATGATACCAAGACTCTCTCTTCAAACTCATTAACTGGAGTATACAAATTCAGAACTTTTACAATCTGTGAAGAAGAAAAACCATTCTTAGGTTCATTTTACTGATGAATCAACAGATGCATCCATGGTTACTAATAATACACTTTTTAAATTAGCTATTTTTAAAAGAAAATTCTTTACAAGTATTTGTTATTTTTTTGCTTTATTGATTCATACAGAATTCCATCACCTGCTTAAGGCTGTATTGTATGACTGCCTCCTTCAGAACATGGGTTCTTTGGAGGTAGAAACTCCGAAATTCTACATGTGTGTGAAAAATACCAAACTATGGAAAAATCAGATGATAAGTAACTGATTGTGATCCTACATCCCCTAGAAACACGCTGTATTTCTCTCCCTAATTTTGACCCTATAATTATGACCTTCTGTAGCTTCCATTCAAGAGAATCTTATGACTTCATTATTTTTCAAGAGAGTGAGCTATTTCTCTAAAAATAGGGCTAAAGCCACTACAGGAAAGAACAGCAACACAAAGACTTTAAGTAATAATCTGGGTTAAACATGTAAAACTTATTAAAAATTCTCTGTGTTTACATGATTCTTTAAAAAAAAAAAAAGCACAACACTTTTTAACAAAGCTAAAACACTTGAAGCATGTGGAATTCTAACTTCTTACTTCAGTATAAAACCAACAGATTTTCCAGCAATGTGAATTACTAAATCAAAACGGCTATATCAATGCAACCGCTAGTGCTGACGCCACTGTGAAAGAAATGGAGAAATTTCTTCCTTTTCCTATGTTCAGGGAATGTTCAGTAATCATCAAAAATGCTGGGATCCAGTTATTCCTGTACAAGCTCTATGCAAATGTAGCATGATTAAAAAAAAAGTGCAACTTTTCTGTACAAAATCTAAGCTTTCATAAATAGAAGTCTTCAGCTGTTTCCTGAGATACATTTGGTTCAGCCTTTCTGAGGCTAATGGGTACAGTAACTTAACACTTTTGTTTGCAGACCCTGAAGACAACAGCTCTGTGTGAATTGTCCATTAACTTAACTGGATACTAACTCCGATGGCAGAAAGATAATTTCCTAGTATCCTAGGCAGACCTGTCTGGAGTACAGAGGTGTCTTAGAATGAACAGTTTTCTCTAAGGATTTTCACAACTACCACACACCGCACAATCTATTGAGTTTTCTCTCATTTGGTCAAAACTTAACTCAAACATCAGACCTCAGAAAAGATCTGGTCCTTTTTTTACCCCTCCAATTTAATCTGTTTTAGTTTAAACAAAGTAAGAAATCTTCAAAACAACATAAGAAATCTTTGATCCATGTGCGACAGCAGTGCTGGCAGGCATAGCAAACACCAACACAGCAAAGAACTGCTCAAAAGTGACAGCAGAACAGACAATGAGAGTTTGCTTACCTGGGCAGTAGTCAGTGCATTGCACATTGAACAAATGGCTTCTGCATCTTCATCCGTTTTCTTTTTTACTTGCAACAACTGTGCAGCCTGGATGAGGGGTTCCAGTGTTTCTTTAGCCCCACTATTCATCAAATTTTTATCACGTAGCCATTCTTCCAGTTGACTCACATTGTACCTGTACAAAGAGGTAAGAGTATCAAGACACTAACGCTTGATTATAGTTAAATTGAAAGCACGTGCAGTTTCTCTTTTCCAGTGTTTCTTCTTTGTCCTTACATGCTTTTCCTTCACACTTGTCATTTCTTGTAATTTTGTCTTCATACAGTTTCCTTCTGATTAAGGCAGGAAATTTTGAGTTTCAAAACAATTAGAAACTATGGCCAAAGACTTCCACTAACTAGCTTTTCCCATTTGTTTCTGTTCTTATTAATTGCAGGAATGTGACAAGAAGAAAGGCGAATGAGATTTTGTCCATGCAAATGTACAGTGAGGCTTTTCAAGGTTACTTGAGGGACTGGAATGTCTTGGCTAAATTTCCTGGCATATGCCAGTAGAATGCATTGGACAACTGATGCCAAATGCAGGAATAGAACAAAATGGCTTTACCGCAGGATGCAGCAAACTACAGTGTGGATGAACACAGCAGGTATCCGCTGAGCCACCAGCATACAAAGAATGCAGCAGGCATGTTTGTTATTCTCTTCTAAAAGCTGAGAAAGCAACTACCAACATTTCACCTACAGTTCTGATTCCTACTTGATGATGAAATACTTTTGTTTTGCTTCTACCACATTTCCTTGAAAGCCAGGTAGGATTTCACCTAAATTAACCAAGCTCTTTTTAACTGAACCACTCAAAATCAGTTTAACAGCATCTGCAACTGTTTGTGTGTGGAAAAATAAATATTCGAAGTGTATCTGCTATTCCATCAAAATGATGTTCATCAGAGTCAAGAGTTCACTAAGATTTCCAGAGCACATTCAAGAAAAGTGTAAAATGAGCTCTCCCACCTTATCTGCATTCCTTTGCTCCACGAGCACATGTCCTTGCGCAGGAGAAGGTTATTAAGCGTTACAGCCCCAATGATGTAGAACATCTGCTTGACCACCTGTTTGATCAGCTCTGGATCCATTCCGTGCTGACACATCACTGAATGGAAAGAGTTCAGCTGCCGAATAATGGAGTCCAATGTGTAGGTTCCTTCATCAGCAATGCTGGATGTTCTCTTGCGCAGCCCTGTTGGTTTCACCCCTGAGACACCTTGGATAGTCTCATGCTCCAGCATTCCTGAAACTGCATTTGATTGACAACATTATTATAATGACTGAAAATTCCTATAAGAAAGCATATTGTGCAAGATAGCAAAACTTAGTATTTACACAGAAAGAGCACGCTGAGCTTTCTGCTAGCCACACTTTGCCATGATTTCCGGCAATTCTCTGTATCCCACTATGTTCTGCAAAATCTAAGCTTACAGGGATTTTACAAAGATTTCAGCATGTCTGTTTGAAAGGAGGGTCTAACTCTAGCTCAGCAAAATACTTTTTTCCTCCCATGGTCATGTGAGCAGCAGAGTCAGCAAACCGAGAGCTATTTCGTTCTTCTAAATGGTGTGATCGGAAAGCGTAATGAAAATTTGTGTAAGAGTACTGTCTGATAAGAAAAATGAAAAGTACTTTTAATGAAAAAAATCTCTCTGAATGTAAGCTTCATCACTGCTAGCTATTTCATTGCTGATTGCTGTCCATAATGACAACCAGCCATTTTTCTCCATATTCATTTTAATTATGAGTTATCATGTAATTAAAGTCCATTTTTTCCACAGGATATTTCCCAAAACACAGGCCAACCAATGTCAGACTGTCCTAACAGTTTCTTCCTGTAAATGCATGATGTATGACAAGTATGAATAAGGTAAATCGATTTATTCTGCCACTGCCAGAAGAGCCAGCCACAGTTTAGTTTTCCCTCTAATCCAACCTGTCCAGTGTAGTCCTTGTCATCTATAAACAGAATACCAAAAGAACTATTAATAAAACTCTACTGGTTAGGAAGAAATACAAGATACAGCATATTACCACCATCACAGTTTTCATTTTGGTACTATGGTGTGAAGTTTAAGGAATTCAACTTTGCCTTACCAATCATTGGTTGCAGAATGTTCTCCAACACTCGGACAAGTTGTTGGTAGATCTGAATAGCCAAGTCACTCAGCACTTGTCTGTATTCAGCTAAATCAAAATTAGTGAGGCAGTGTTCATTTTGACGAGGTGTATTATGCTTCATAAACCCCTGAATTCATAAAATAACAGAAACAAATGCTTCAATAGAATACAAAAATATTACAGAAAACCAGTGTTGATATTTTTTCATGCAACTGACAAATAATACTTTAAAAATAATACACAGCCCCTCAAAACTTTAATTTGGAAGTTCTTCTGATGGAGGCTAATGCTAAGATTTGCTTTTCAATTTGACTTGTGCCACGTCTGCTTCCCTGTGTTGCAAATTCAAGTATCTACCAACTTTCTGGCAGGTAAGACCCTTCCCTCCCACTCCAGCATGGGCATTCTCACCTAGCCATTTATAGCCAAAATCCCAGTGAAGTATGAAGAAGAAATTAGGCATACCCCAGCCTCCAAACATAAATTGGTCTGCCATACTATGGTTAAAGGGCTTAATACGGCCTTTTTCATAGGAAGTTCAGTGAATCATTACTAAACACCATAATGGTCGCAGCCAGATTCTTCTACTTAATCTGAGTTGGCACTTTCAGGAGCACAATGTCATCTAGCTTCTGGGCCTCCAGCGTGCAGTAAAGGGAAACTGGTTCAAATCTTATCTCCCTGTGCTTTCCACTGACATCACCACCATCATTCCAAAAAGTGTAGCTGTTTTAAGAAACTTTGACTAGATATTGAGATATTACAGGAATTTGTTAAAGAGTAGTGCTCACAATAGTATTGTAGAGCAAAAGAAACCAGAGTAGTAGCACTGCGTACCTCTTCTCCACTATACTGCTTTAAACAGTGCAAAAATCGGCAGGTGTTAGATAGCCAGAAGGACACTGTTTCAAAGTCATCACCTCTTTTCTGAAGATAAAAACAAACACATTTCAACAAAGACTGCTAGGAGGAATAAAATAATAAAATGTTAGATAAACAATTAAACACTTAAATTCTACTTTCTTGTAGCTACTCAGATTCTGATGTTTTGCAAAACTTTGTGTATTTCAGTAACATATTAGAAAAGCAAGGTTTTTTGACAAAATACCATTAAACACCCTCCCTGTTTTCTATAATGTTTTTCAAAAACTTTCAAAATATAATTTCCTCCAAAGATACGATCTTTCTGTGTTTTACAGACCCATCCTAACTGCTCTGTGCAGAAATCACAGGGCAATGTGACTGTATTCCCAAAACACTCATCCTGTGGCACAATGACTCTTGTGAAGAGCCCAACACAGAGGATGGGAATGATGCAGAGCCAGCAGGAGGAGCAGAGAACAATTCAGTTTGCATGAATGTCACTTACATTATAACCATTTTGGCAGCCTGATATGGAAAACAAATAAAACAAAAAGCCCTCCTTGCCAAAGATCATAGAATCTAGTATATGCTGAGTAATTAAAATTTCTAGAGCTCTGTAGCATTCACTCCATTCACTTAAATATGTCCAAAAAATTTTATGAATATCTAAGCTCTTACAGGATTGTTTACTAAATGTTTTTTCAAAGCATGTTGATTAAATGCTTGGGTTTTGAGCACATCTTTATTTAATAACTATAAAACTCCATGAAGCATAAAGCATATTTATGTCTTAATATTGCTTTCACGATACCCCTGGAGTAAACTCTCCTAGCCAACTCATTGCGAAGACTTTAGGCAGTAACATATTATCATCAATGTAATCTGTAGGTGAAGCAGATGAGGAAATCTGTGAACCAAAACTGCAAATGAAGCATTTTAAGTATTCTGGATTAGAAAGACTCACTATGCAAACTTTGACTGCATCCAAAGCTTTACAGGCATAGCTGCAGAGGAGGAAGTCTATTCAAAATAAAAAGAAGGTATTTCTTTTTCCACTAATTCAAACCATCTGTGGTATTATGTGGATAAAATGCTATCACTATAATTTGCTGCTTGTTAACAACTTTTTGTAACTTTGGTGAGAGGACTTTCCGATCAGAAATCCAATTCATTGAAAGTCTTTTCCTCACTCCTCTAACATAAAATCAAAAGCAAATTTTCAATTAATGTTTTCCTAAACCAAGCAGACTAACTAACCTTCAACACTTTTTTGATGCCATTGATAGTGGAAGTCAACAACGACCGCACTTTTTGGTCATCATTAAGGTAATCCGCATGGCGTACACACATGAACAAAATATATGCTGGTAGTCCTGGAATCAGGTTGACGGCTACCCCACGTGGTTTCAGCTCTTGGGAAAAACAAACACACATTTTTTTTTTTTAAGTATAAAGCCATTGGAAGGTCTTATATGTGGTAATCACCACCTCCCCAGTTAATTGTACATATATATCTATATATGGCCAGTGCAAACTAAGAGTAAAACTAAGAAGAGCCACTTTCTTGGTAAAATACCAGAACAGAATAAAACATAACTGCCTGCTAAAAAATATGCAGACACATTAATATGTACTATACTCATCAGGAAGGATGATTAGATTACAATAGACATTTAGGAATTTTAGATAAACTGAACATTGTCAAAACCAAAATAAGCTATTCATTTCATAATGGAAATTCTGTATTCTTATCACTCACTTTTCAGAGTGTGTGGGAGCACAGGAGGCTGCAAATGAGAAAGATGCTTACCTAAAATAAGATTCTTGACAAGTTTTTGTTCATCCTCCTTCTTATATTCTAACATCCCTTGGAAGTCCTTTTCTTTCCGTGGAATGTTAACTGGACGAATAGGTTCATCGATGATTTGTCCAGGTGATATGTTCTCCATCTGGCCCACTTCAGAGGGGAAATGAAAAGAAATTATATAATATAATATTTTCCAGTGAAACCAATGCACATCAGATGAAACTATGACATTTCTAAGGAAGAACTCCAACATACAGAACTAAGAAATGTTTTTCTTTGGTTCAAGGCAACACTTAGCAACAAAACTCCCATTAAACAAAAAGACAGACTGTTGATAAATGTATCTTGGGGTAGCATTCTGCCTTTGAAGAACAGTGGAAGTGCATGAATGGCATCCATTAATAAAGACTTATGCTGATTTCCTGGATTTTATCATATAAAAGCACAAAGGCGAAGCAATAGCCGTTAATCACTTAATCCCAGATTAATACTGCAAGGGTCACTGTTAATTGTTCTGCAAAATGCCAGTATTTTTCAAGGTGTTTGTTACCTATTTTGGTAGGTTTACCTTGACCAGCAGGCAAGCACCCACGCACCCACACTGGCTCAGCTCCCCCCAGCCCTCCAGCAGGACAGGGGAGAAAATATTAAGAGCAGAAGTGAGAAAACTCATGGGTTGAGA